TAATATAATATAATATAATATAATATAATATAATATAATATAATATAATATAATATAATATAATATAATATAATATAATACAATATAAATATAATATAATATAAATAATCAGAATATCTAACGTGGCGCCTGCGACAAAAATTCACTGACTAATTCCAGACACCGTTCCATAAAACTTCCGGAATCGTATCAGATTCCGCAGACTATCGCGAAAAGGTCAAAAAATAATTTTTCCGGCCGCGTCATTGATCTCGAAGTCTTTTTTATCAGCAGCGTAAGTCGATAGCTAATTCCGGGTCGCATGCAGAATGCAGCGTCCTGAGGCATCAGCACACGACTATTTGTGTACAGAATTTCTTTTCTGCACTGTCCGCGAATAATTCCGCGGAGGTTATTGGACAATGATGGGTTTTGTGTCCTAGATGCGTCAGACTTTTCGTTGGAGGAGCCACACGTGTCTCAGCAGAAGCGACAATGGGGTATGGGACCGTATTCCGGCACGGGACTGTATCCTGGCATGGGACCGTATCCTGGAATGAGACCAATGCCTGGAATGGTGGAAATACCTGGAATGGGAGTCGAAGCGGCGAATAACTATCAAAACACCGATATCGAAACTCCATTGTTCGATTTTCAATCGAATAAAGGGTTCCAAGCGTTCCAAGAACAAGTCGGGCCTGGCGCAATACTGCCGATGCCTTACGGACCCATGGGAATGTACCCTATGCCGAGAGCTGCCGTAAGCAACTATACATCGATTGTTCTAATCAATAAATATGAGAACTCGTGAAGAGTTTTCTGACTAATAGCAAATTCTCCCTAATTGACCCTCCACTTGGAAACGAAAATGGACAACTTCGGGAGAGGAGACACGGTTATTCGAGCCTCGCGGCTCGTTTTTATGGTTGTTGATAATCGAAACTATAGAAACGAGTCGCAAGGCTCGAATAATCGTATCTCCTCTTCCCAAATTGTCCATTTTAGTTTGCAAACTGGGGGACAATTTCAGAGAATTTTCTGTACTTGAGAGATGAAGAAAACTTAAGGTGGTACAATTTTGGTGTGAAGTGCGTGTGTTTTTAACTTTGTTAGCGAATTTTTTGCAAAGAAATTATTATACCGTTTGCAGTCTAACTGGCAAGGTTTATTTGTACGTGTTTCAACGACGTTTTAAGATTTTTTGGAACAGGAGAAAGTTAAAATCAGGTGTCAGGTGTCTCATGGTGTCCATGATTCCGATCATTCTGCTTGTTTGAAATAAAAAAACGTAAAAATTCCTTAATTAGTATGAATTTGGCTATAGCAGGCACCAGAACAAAAGGAAAAAGCCAGTAATTAAAGCGCCAGTAGCGGCGCTTTGAAATTCGATTGTCGATTTTGGCATGTTTCGTTCAACTTTGGAAGCCTAAAAAATAGAACAAAGTACAAATTTTTGATTGATTCTGGTTGGGGCTGTAGTCAGACATGTGCTAAATGCGTACTTAAAAAATTTGAGTCAATTGGTGTAGTAGATTTTGAGATATCATGGATACTGTTCTGAAAAATGTAGTTTCGAGAAAAATGCCTTTAAAGTTTAGTATGTCGATAATGATATAATATCGATAATATGATATAAGATCGACGCGTCTTTCAAACGACCATAACTGCGTTAATTTTAGGATGCAGAATAAGAAATTGATTTTTTCAAAAGTTCACGCTGGAATACGCCCTTAATTGTAAAAATGTTCAATATGGTCGCAATACTCCGACATTTATAGAACCATGCTCGGTTCAACGAGAATTGGCAGAAAATATAAACAGTTTCACTCGAGCTTCGCGATATTGTTAATTAAATATCACTGGCATTGTTATACAATGATGTAAATAACGAGGTAAATGAAAGTGCAGATCAAGTTACGGGAAATTATATTTTTACTTTTCATTTGTCTATTAGGTCATTCAGTATGAAATGCGTACAATTTTATAATTTTAAAATAAAATTTATTTCTATGTAAATTAAATAAATAAATTTTCATATAAATTAAATTTTATCATAGACATTTTATCAAATGACATTTTTAAATTCATTGAGTCTCGCTACTATGTTAAATTGAAACTACTCATATTTGCCATAAATGCATAAAATTCGCAGTCTAGTAATAACGAATAACAATCATTCGATTGCAAAAAACGTGCAGAGAAATTTCATGTTTCCGTTCGTTGAAATGAATCAATTTTAAGAAACTTTGACACGTAAGAAAAAAAATCAGCTTAGCATTATTAATTAAGGTTTGATTGTTCCAGGTAATCCCTGACAAATTTCTTGGCTACGAGCTGTCTCCAGAGGAGCTCGAAGAAATCCACGCAGAGATCAGCGAACGAATGCCCAGGGAATCGAAATATTTAACGGAGAAGATCGTTGACTTTATCGCGAAATGCTGTTCGAACGTGACGCAGTGCATGGACAATCCGAGCGTGGTCCCGTGCATGTGATGCTCATATTAACAGTATTAGGTACCGTAGAAATACCACTGCCCAATAACTGCCAACGAATCTATAAAAGCTGTTACGACAGATACAGTGTACTTATCTTGAATTAAGTCATATACCTTGTATTACAATGTCTTATTATCTTCGAAAATATACAAAATGAAATATTCACTTTCGTCTTCAAGAATTCATTCAGTCTCGAACTAAAGTGAATCGATACTTAAAAATAATTAAACATTAGCCCTTAAAGATAATTAATTTCATTCAGATATAGTAGTGTGCATAATTGTTGACTCAAAGTAAAAATATATAATCGGTAACAATGTAGAAGTTACTTTGAGTCGACAATTATTATAATATATATTGCCATTGTGGCAATATTATGGCAATAATTATTGCCATAATTGTATGTTATTATTTTCTAAAAATTTTAGATCGAAGATTTTATTACTAACCGAGTTATTTCAGTTTCAGTGGTAATTATAGCGTGCATAATTATAGACTCAAAGTGTAACTTTTATTATTGTTACTGTCATCTAAATGAAAACTTAACAAAATATCGATTTTGGATATTTCTATTTTCTATTGTTTCTAATATAGAAATATGCAAATACGATATTTTGTTGAGTTCTTCTTAAATATACAGGATGACTCAGCTGAAGGAGGTCACCTACTACTTTGATATTTAAACAAAAACTTAACAAGATATTATATTTCTATATTTCTATTTTCTATTATTTCTAATACGAAACAACAAATATATAAAAATATATAAATATTGTATATTTCTATTTTCTATTATTTCTAATACGAAACAACAAATATATAAAAATATATAAATATTGTATATTTCTATTTTCTATTATTTCTAATACGAAACAACAAATATATAAAAATATATAAATATTGTATATTTCTATTTTCTATTATTTCTAATACGAAACAACAAATATATAAAAATATATAAATATTGTATATTTCTATTTTCTATTATTTCTAATACGAAACAACAAATATATAAAAATATATAAATATTGTATATTTCTATTTTCTATTATTTCTAATACGAAACAACAAATATATAAAAATATATAAATATTGTATATTTCTATTTTCTATTATTTCTAATACGAAACAACAAATATATAAAAATATATAAATATTGTATATTTCTATTTTCTATTATTTCTAATACGAAACAACAAATATATAAAAATATATAAATATTGTATATTTCTATTTTCTATTATTTCTAATACGAAACAACAAATATATAAAAATATATAAATATTGTATATTTCTATTTTCTATTATTTCTAATACGAAACAACAAATATATAAAAATATATAAATATTGTATATTTCTATTTTCTATTATTTCTAATACGAAACAACAAATATATAAAAATATATAAATATTGTATATTTCTATTTTCTATTATTTCTAATACGAAACAACAAATATATAAAAATATATAAATATTGTATATTTCTATTTTCTATTATTTCTAATACGAAACAACAAATATATAAAAATATATAAATATTGTATATTTCTATTTTCTATTATTTCTAATACGAAACAACAAATATATAAAAATATATAAATATTGTATATTTCTATTTTCTATTATTTCTAATACGAAACAACAAATATATAAAAATATATAAATATTGTATATTTCTATTTTCTATTATTTCTAATACGAAACAACAAATATATAAAAATATATAAATATTGTATATTTCTATTTTCTATTATTTCTAATACGAAACAACAAATATATAAAAATATATAAATATTGTATATTTCTATTTTCTATTATTTCTAATACGAAACAACAAATATATAAAAATATATAAATATTGTATATTTCTATTTTCTATTATTTCTAATACGAAACAACAAATATATAAAAATATATAAATATTGTATATTTCTATTTTCTATTATTTCTAATACGAAACAACAAATATATAAAAATATATAAATATTGTATATTTCTATTTTCTATTATTTCTAATACGAAACAACAAATATATAAAAATATATAAATATTGTATATTTCTATTTTCTATTATTTCTAATACGAAACAACAAATATATAAAAATATATAAATATTGTATATTTCTATTTTCTATTATTTCTAATACGAAACAACAAATATATAAAAATATATAAATATTGTATATTTCTATTTTCTATTATTTCTAATACGAAACAACAAATATATAAAAATATATAAATATTGTATATTTCTATTTTCTATTATTTCTAATACGAAACAACAAATATATAAAAATATATAAATATTGTATATTTCTATTTTCTATTATTTCTAATACGAAACAACAAATATATAAAAATATATAAATATTGTATATTTCTATTTTCTATTATTTCTAATACGAAACAACAAATATATAAAAATATATAAATATTGTATATTTCTATTTTCTATTATTTCTAATACGAAACAACAAATATATAAAAATATATAAATATTGTATATTTCTATTTTCTATTATTTCTAATACGAAACAACAAATATATAAAAATATATAAATATTGTATATTTCTATTTTCTATTATTTCTAATACGAAACAACAAATATATAAAAATATATAAATATTGTATATTTCTATTTTCTATTATTTCTAATACGAAACAACAAATATATAAAAATATATAAATATTGTATATTTCTATTTTCTATTATTTCTAATACGAAACAACAAATATATAAAAATATATAAATATTGTATATTTCTATTTTCTATTATTTCTAATACGAAACAACAAATATATAAAAATATATAAATATTGTATATTTCTATTTTCTATTATTTCTAATACGAAACAACAAATATATAAAAATATATAAATATTGTATATTTCTATTTTCTATTATTTCTAATACGAAACAACAAATATATAAAAATATATAAATATTGTATATTTCTATTTTCTATTATTTCTAATACGAAACAACAAATATATAAAAATATATAAATATTGTATATTTCTATTTTCTATTATTTCTAATACGAAACAACAAATATATAAAAATATATAAATATTGTATATTTCTATTTTCTATTATTTCTAATACGAAACAACAAATATATAAAAATATATAAATATTGTATATTTCTATTTTCTATTATTTCTAATACGAAACAACAAATATATAAAAATATATAAATATTGTATATTTCTATTTTCTATTATTTCTAATACGAAACAACAAATATATAAAAATATATAAATATTGTATATTTCTATTTTCTATTATTTCTAATACGAAACAACAAATATATAAAAATATATAAATATTGTATATTTCTATTTTCTATTATTTCTAATACGAAACAACAAATATATAAAAATATATAAATATTGTATATTTCTATTTTCTATTATTTCTAATACGAAACAACAAATATATAAAAATATATAAATATTGTATATTTCTATTTTCTATTGTTTCTAATATAGAAATAAGCAAATATGATATTTTGTTACATTTCTTTCTTTAAATATACAGCTAAAAGAGACCACCCACAATGCTGTGATTGATTATAACCTCAAAGTAACTTTTACATTTTTTGCAGAAAATCTAAACAAAAACCAAAAAAACCTATACTTGTATATTTCTATATTAGAAATAATAGAAAATAGAAATATGTAAATATGATATATCATTAAGTTTTTATTTAAATATCACTAAAAGTGCAAAAGTTGCTTGGAGTCTATAATTATTCACACCATTGTATAATCTGACACGGTTAGAACTTGAATTTAGAGCAAAATGTATATGTACAGTCGTGGGCGAATATACAGGGTGTCTCACTAAAAGTGTTACAAAGCAATATCTCTGCTACGATTAATAATACTGACAAATTAAAAAATTTGAGGTCGTTGATGTTTTTTTAAATGAGTTTATAGATTTCTAGTATTATACCATAATAGCTAAGATCAAGACAAATCCCATGACCTGTAATAAATAAGTAAATTTTAAAAAAAGGAAAAAACTAAATTGAAAAAATTTAATTCAACCTTTTTAATATTTTTCTGAGATTAAATTTTTCTTGTCAATATATTTTTTATCGTTGATCTCTCTGTAGTAGTCATTGAATTATTCTTCTCTCTATTTCTAGGTGTTATAGGATTTTTCGGACCCATGGTCACGTAAATTTTTTATTCGAATTACAGGTGGTATTACAGAATGTTCGATTCGTCTTGATCTTAGCTACCATGATATATTGATAGAATTATGGAATTTCACTTCAAAAGGAAAACATCAATAACGTTGAAATATCGAAAAATATGACCTTCCTGAAAAAGTTATTTCCATTAAAAAATGTGTCCTTTCGAACTATAAAAGTTGTTACTTTGGCATTTCTCAGTATCATTAACGACAATGGAGATATTGCTTCGTATCACTTCTAACGAGACACCCTGTATATGGATACCTTTTAAAACAGAATAGCTTTCTTTAAAATTGTACCAAGCGAGTCGAATTTTTTTGAGATATTAAAACTGGTTTTTACTGGACAATGTGTAAAAAAATGCTTGCGAAAGTAACAATTGGGTGAAATGTCAAAGGAAATCACATTTTTAAACATTTTTATCTGAATATAATATTTCCGTCATATTATGACGGAAATTCAAACAATGCATTTTTAGATTTCGGTAGCTTATGTTCATGCGGAATATTTCATGGTAAACAGTTGATGCAGTGACAAGCGACAGGCATTGACAGACGACAAAATCTCTACATTTCTTACAGTTGGTGTAAGAATTGTTGTAAGAATTTGTAAGATACGATTCACAAGTCACCGACACAAAGGCATTATCTAAATTTACGTTATATGCTCAGATAAAAATGTTGTAAAACGAGATCTTTCAATTCTTTTTGTAATTCCATCCAATTACAATGTTTACGAAGAAATATGTATAAACAAAATCTCAAAAAGAATAAGAATCGTTTGGCCCAATTTTGGTGTAAAATGTCAAAAGAATGATAAAACAGTGTCCATATAAATTTATTGACAAAAGTTAAGAAACATTCTATATCGTTATAATAGTCGAGTAAAGTTTGAACAAATATATTTATTTGTTTATATATATATACATATAATATAAATATAACAAATATATTTATT